ACAGTTAAACCTCACAATTTTTGATCCACATCAACATTATAGGCTCATATGAACCATTTTATCAAGTTTGGACCACAACTCCTCAAGAAATTTGATTAGATCATCAAAAGGGCAAAATGGTCATTTTTAGGGTTTTGATTGTATAAGGGCAATTTCTGATTTTTCACCTAGCCAATGGCAAATTGGGTTCAAGTATGGATTCAAGGACTCAATGGAATCATCTTGACCTATCCACAAGGTTCAAAAGATCTCAAATGCATTGGATTGACAGATGAATTTTTCAGTCAACTGATCAAAATTTGACAATACACTGAAAAGTCAAACTTTGACTTTTTGGTCAAAATCAAGTGCCAAGGGTTATTTTTCATCAAGATGTGTCAAAACATGAAACTTTTTCATCAAGAAACCTGATTTTGCAAATTAGGGTTTAAAATTGAAAATTTTCATAACTTAGAATTTTTCTAAGTTATGAAATTTTCTTATTTTTTCCCAACTTTACCCAACATTTTCACCATGATGCAATTGGATTAAAACAAAACTTCTAACATAAAAGTTTTAGTCCTCCACAAAGTCTACAACTTTGAATCACAAAGTTTTCCCAAAAGAAGCTTGTATCTCAAGTTATGATTTTTGGAACAAGGGTCCGTGAAACTTTTAACTTAGTGAAATTTTGCCCTAGTTTAGGCAGGACTTTGACCTATCTTAATGACCATTTTTCACATAGTTCCACTTGGAATCTCAAAATTCATTTCAAATATGGATTGTAGATCATGTTACAAGCTTTCCAAAATGTCCAAGAACTCTCCAAAATCATTTATGGTTAGGTAGAATCAAAGATTTGAATTTGGCAAAAACTCACTTTGATCCATGGCATTTTCATGTTGACACAAGTTGCAAAATCTGTCCAAACTTGCTTTGTACTTGATTACAGGTCTCTAAACCCTTTAACACTCAAAAATTGAATGCAAAATCATTGGTTTAAGGTGTTATTCTGATCATTAGAGGTTTACACAATGAATTAATCCATTTATGGCATAAAGGCAACAATGCCATTTACATAAAGCAAAACTTTTGCAATTTTGTTTCTCTTGAGCACTGCACCAAGCCTTTTGCTGCAAACAAATCCCCTAATATCAGGCAAATTTCACCAACTTTGTGCAGCTAGGTTACAGGCCCGTACAACCTTGGCATGGTCACCTCTCACTTTTTACTTCAAGACCAAGTAATTGTGTAAAAGGTCAACAACACTTGAATCTGATATAACCAACTCTTGCCAACATTCCAAACAAGTTTTACACTTTGTCTTGAGCCAGAAACACGAGTTATTGAACCCTCAAGCCTTCCAAAACACAAAATCACCTTCTTCTTGCAAAACAGGGCAACTTCTGCACTTTGAGTTCCATCTCACAAACCACTCGTGCGTTTTGCCCCAAACTACTCCCAACACACTCCATACAACCTATCTGAACTATCCCAACCATTGGCCATTGACTGTAACTCCATTTGCAAGCTTCACCATTTCTGTTTTCAACTTGTGTAGGTTGACTTCTACAAGCTTGTTCAAGCACATCCAAAGCAAACTAAGCATTGGGGAGGGCCAGAGGTAGTTCAAGCAAGCTCCCAAGCATCTCAGGCCTCACTGAAAAGCTCCACATTGCCATACACGAGTTCATCTGAAACAGGTATTTGGCAACTTTCTATCTCTCTATTTAGGAATCATTAGGTTTAGGTTTGTGAATAAAAAATGTAGTACTCATAGCCCTTAAGCTGTACATATGCTCAGTTTTCATTTAAGTTAAGTGTGCTAAGAGAATTTGATTGATGAACTTCCTGAAAAAGTTAGGTTAGAAATTAGGGCCAGAGAAATTCTCTCTGGTCTTTGAGAGTTAGATTGAGTTTTTTATATGGTTGAAATCGTGGTTTAATGCTCTACAAGTTTCATGTTTTGAGTTTTTGATTTCATGCAAAGAATAGAGAGAACAGAACTGGAGTTACAGGGCGCGCATTTTCTGTTCAAAGGTTGAAGATGAAGTTCAGCGGGCTGGACTTTGGCTTGGCTTGCTTTTTGCACCTCCAGTTTGCTGACTGCACCCCCTGGCCCATTTCTTTATATTTTTGTATTTTTGTATTTATTTTTCATTTCTGATTTTATTCTATTTTTTCTAAAACATAAAAACTTACCAAAAATATTTTTATAAATTTTCACATTTTTTTTATATTTTATTTTATTTTTCTAACATGAAAATAATTATTAATTAGTATATACTTTTATTTTATTTAATAAAAACTTGAAAATAATACTTAAAAATATTATACTTTTATTTTTATTATTTACATAATTAAATAATATTTTTTTTCCAATATATTTTTATTTTTTGACATTTGTACATATTTCATTATTTTATTTTATTGTATATAAACAATATAATTAATATATATATTTTTCTTAAAGAAAATTAGGGTTTTTACCCTTGACAAAAATAATCTTTTATTTCTATTTTTTTAATACATTAAATATTATATTTTCACATACATAAAAATAAACAAAAACATTTTCTTTGCATACTTATAATATTTTGCATATTTATACTTAATTTTCTTGTTTAAATAATGTTTATTTATTATTTGATGCAAATAATTCAATTTGGATGTAATAGTAAATATTAGGGTTTTATTTTCTTGCAAATATTCCCCATTCAAAATTGTATCCCCCTCCCCATATCAATGTTGTAATAGTCGTAGATTTATTTTGCGCATTTATAACTTTCAAATATGCCATGATAGAGATTAGGGTTTGTATGCAAGTCCAAAATCAACAAATAGCTTGACCTAATACAAGACAAAAAAGTATGAAAATGACAACACAATGCACACATGCACCCCTAGGGTTTCATCCACTTGTTGCCTTTAAAAATGGCCATGTTATGCATGTTGAGTATCTTGGCAAAACAAAAACAAAACAAAAGATCATAGTCCCTCGATGACGCTATCTTGGTTGCCTATACAAAAATAATCTAGTCCCTCAAAAAATTTGCTAAAGATACTTAGCACAATTGCTATCATGGTCAATACGATGACCCGCGTCTGTCCCGTTTAACATCCTAATACAAGGTTGTTTACCAAATGCAATGGTAAAACAACACTGTCAAAATGTTTAAAAATGTGTAGGAAAGATCTTTGAGTAGATATGGTAGACAACTCTTAGTTACTTGATCAAAACTTGCAAAAACATCCTTGCTATTTTCGAACATACCTCACAACACAATTTCAAAACATTTCCCAAAACAAACTTTCAAAACTTTCAAAACATTGAAATATCTTTTCAAAAGACAATACACCATTGTATATATTCGAACAAGAATCATTACAAAGGTTGCCACAACGATGACCTCTTTTCAAAACATTTTCAAAACCACACACACAAAGCACCATTTCAAACAATTGAAAAGCAAGAGCAAGTGATCTAAACAAGTAACTAAGAGTCCATGGATAACCATGGATGAAAAGGGTGCTTGCACCTTCCCTTTTCATAATCTACCCCCCGAACCCAAGAAAATATCTCAAAGGTCTTTCTTGTGCTTTTTGACCTTTCCTTTGGATAAAATAAAAAGTCGGTGGCGACTCTTGCTAAACCGAAACATTTGCGAACACAAACGTAAAACCTAAAGTCAGTTCTCCCACCGTATCACACCACCCAACAAAGAAACTGAGAAACCAACACGGCAACAGTATATGGAAAACAATAAAGATGCAACGCAAACATATGCTCAAATAAACATGTACAAATGAATAAACTGAAAGCATAAAAAATAAACACCTAAAGAAAAAAAAGCAAGAGCAAGAAGCGAATCCGGGATGGACTAGCATCTGGTCAACCTTTCCCAAGTGAAGTCTCCAGCTAAAATAACCGGCTGAACAAATCATCGAAATGAAATCAATGAAGTCGCCGTCGGACATTTTTTATCCCAGAGGAAGGGAAAGGTAAACATCGAGTAAGCCCGAGAAGAGTGAAATCAAGGTCCAATGACCGAGAGGTCGGGTACGGGAGTCTGTTACGCGAGGGGAAGGTATTAGAACCCCATACACCCGTAGTACTCTACGGTATCCATTCTTGTTGCTCTAATCAAAGGGTGTGTTTAAATCTATAACTTACAAGCTAAAAGGAAAAATATAAAGAGGGAATGCATGTAAAAAGAAATACGTAGAAAAGAAGAAAATACTTACAAAGTTTCTCTCGGCTGAGCCCCGCGACCAGATGCATATATATCCCTTTTAAGGAATCAGAGCGTCATAGTTCTTCTCACATGTTTTAGTTTGGTTTGTGTTTTTTAATGAACAATATTAATTTTGCCTTCTGCCGCAACTCGACCTTTGGAGACTCATTCGTCATCACAAAAGTGAATTAACATGTTCTTTTTGAAAGTTTAAAAGAAAAGAAAAGGAGTCTGAAGGCGAAAAAGAGTTTGCATTGTTTGATGTTTTTTACCTTGAAAAAGGATTTGAAAGTTGTTAAATGTTTTATGAATTTGCCAAGAAAAAAAGGTTTTAGCTTTAAGGATGTAAAAAGAAAAGAAAACATCTAAGGGAGATTATCCTAAATCTAAACCCTAATGTTATCATACAATGATGGTCTTGAGGTCGAGTTTGAAAGAGAAATCCGAACTATGTTGGTATACCAAAAACCTAAGGGCGAGGATAACTATCCTATAGGGAACATGCAATGAGACCGAAGTCGTTATTTCAATTCTAATTAAGTGACATCATCGATCGTCAACAAAGGAAAACGATAAAACCCTAAGGGTAACTTGCAAAGATCGAAGTCGTTATCTCAATTCAAATTGAGTGACATCATTGATCGTCAAGAGAAATAATCCAAGAAATCATATGGGGAACATACAAAGATCGAAGTCGTTTTTCTCAATTGAGTGACATCATCAATAATCAACAAAGGAGGCAAACACAAGCACAAACACAAATAGAAAATAAGTGCAGAATGCCTGCTACAGGTCTTTAAACAGCGACTTCGAGTGCACGCTCTTTATTTCATACTTCTCATGATATCTAGAAAGCGATATATGCGGAAAGATAAACCAAGAAATGTAATACCAAACAAATAAAATGTTTGTTATATAACAAGCAAGCAAATCGAAAATACTCCAGAAAACTTCGAGCACGCTAGCATCAACAAATGAAATGGTCAGAAAATATGCGCTCGACATAAGCATCAAAACATATCATGTGGCACATGCGTTAGACACTTCCTCACATCAAACAGAACACCTGCGCAAAGTACATATCCAGACAAAAACAAGTAACCCATATTTCTCATAACAATGAGAGTCAACAGATAAACGCATTGGAAGTGTATATGGTCCCCCATTAAAGTGGCAATATCGATTTACCAAGATTAGGTAACCGATAAAAAGTATCCTCATTGTACCTTGTATAAGTAACCAAACATGTTAGAAATAAAAAGGAGACAAAATTGGAGTTGTACATTCTAATCACAAGTCAAAATATGATTAAAACTTGACAAAATAAAATGCAAGCATGTATCAAGACATCAAAACAGAGGTCTGGACAGCATGTACATCACACAAAGAATTACGCAAAATGTCGGTCCAGAACCAACACAACTTGATACACATGTCTCATAATGAAAAAAAAAATGCAATGAAGCATAAACCAACAATTAAAACCAATTTCAGATGCAATTTACAAAACGGGACAACACTATACTTATTTAAAGAATTAACCCGAAAAATATATCGGAATCAAGCAAACGCAATCACAAAGATTCACGAATGAACAATAAAGTAAAAGCATGTATCAAATGAAAGATTAAACTCAAATTACATGTCAAAAAAGTGCCAAAAAGCACTAAATTCAAAAATTAGGCGCGCAAAACATCGGAACAGAATTGGCTCAAAATCACACAGTTAGCTACAAACATGCCAACAGACTCAAAAAATGGTTCCCATGAATTAATTCCAAGTGGAAGTACTACTTCCTAACCTCGAACAACAACTCCATAAACATGAAAATCGAGTGAAAATTCAGTCTGAAACCATGAAATCTTGGCATAAATATCGCCCAAACATCCAATCCAAGTGCATTGATCCTTAACCATCAAAAAAATGCAACCTTATACACCAAATCATGTCCAAAAAGCAGATTTCAACCACAATATCAAGTGTTTATTTAATTTCCAAATCCAAACTTTTTACATTGAAAATGAGAGTTTATTCATAAACTGAATTGAAAGTTATATCAACACATGATTACTCCACGAAAACTCCATAACAATTCCATAATTGACATGTGAACTTATAACTCGATATTTAGAATTTTCAACAATTTTTTTACCGAATTGAAAATAAAATTCACATCAATTATGTAATTGCTCAACCTATGTCTTTCTTTAACATTCTTCACAATTCAACAACTCAAAATTCAAATATATTCAACAATTCAAGAATAGAATTCACACAACAACTCAACTCATGAAATTAAGCTCAAAATTCAATCAAGCATGAAATTCAAGAATCTAGTTACATCAACATTTCAACACATGAAAATATGCTCAAAACTCAAACCATGTGGTTCAAACAATTTATCAAACACATAAATTTCAAGAGTTCAATTCATGCCTTAATTTAATTTTCAATTCAAAGTCTATGTCCAATTACTCCATGTAATTCAAGAATCAACACAATTAATCCACAACAATATCAACACTTTGATTCAATTCTCAGTTAAAGTGTGAAAAAGTACTTAATCAATTAAATCACAAAATCAATTAAGCATCAAAGGAATTCAGAATTACCGGAATTGAAAGCTTGATCGGAAATAAGGAGAGGATGTGCTTGGACGGAAGCGGACGCGAAAACGGAGAGAGTACCAATCGCGGTTTATCGCATATATATATATATATATATGGCATTCCGATAAGGGTAAGGGTAAGGGTAAGTACTCCCACTGCACGAGGATTAACACATCTGAGGTAGCTTACTCCCTTATGTTTGTCCTTATGCCATACCGACATTGATCCAAACTCCACCCCTATACTACTTCACATGTAGCTACTTCTCTCTCTCTCTCTACTATAATATTATTCCCACAAATTTCTTGTCCCCTTAGATATGTATCCTAACAGTTCCAGCAACTCTAATTTAATTGTCCTTAGGTATGTACACCCTCAGCAGTATGGAGGACCCCATATCCCAACATGTATCCTTTATGACCCAACAATCTTAGGGATCTCATCATTCCACACACCTGATGTCGAGGATGAGGATGAGAAGGAACATGTAGCTATAAAGGTAGATTAGTATCTCAAGAGTTCTGGAAAGAGATGGGTCATCAATCTTGAGAGAAACATACAATGTTTATATTTGAGTGTTGTTGTTGTCATTATATTTTATATTAATGTTAATTTAAAAAAATATTGTTTAGCTTCTTTCTGTATATGCCAGCTGTAAAGACTATAAAAAAGGTTATTATATTCAAGAATAATACAATTTTTTTTTGCTGCAAAGACTAACAAAAAGGTTATTCAAGAATAATACAATTTTTTTAGAACACAAATAGAGATCTTGATCATGATTCTAGAACAAATTTGGTTTAGTAAACTTTTGGTTTAATGCAATACTTATTTAAGTTATTTTTGTTTACAAATTCCTCATTATATTTTATCAAATACTTTTTATCAATATCAACAATGCATGAGAAATGTGTTTGGGATGCAAGAGGTCATGATTGGATCAAGCGTAATTTTTATATTAGAGCAACAACTCTTCTTTATGACATGCTTGTGCATGCTCGAAAAGATTGGTTCAGAAGTAACCTTTGTCTCCAATAGATAGGCGTAGAATTATTTGAAGAGCTACTCAACTATTGGACATCAAATAATTTAATGAGTTGTCAGCAAAAAAAGAAGAAAAAAAAAAACAAAGAAGTAGAGCATATGAAAATGGGGAAAATTGACCCTCTCCTATTTTTTTTCTTATGTTTCTACCATGCTCCAAATCTAATGGGTGATAAGCATTAAAAGAATAAAGATGTAGATGACATGTAGGCATAAAATATGCTTGCACAGGGGAGCAAGTATTAGTACTACTTAGCAAAAATTGACAGGGGAGAGTTCCCCTTATATATGTTAGTTTTTAACTATAATTAAATACTTAAATTTAATTGTTATTTATATTTAATTATTATCATATTACAATTATTTGATTTTTGATAAGCTCTATTTTAATGTATGCATAAGAAAAGTATGATAAGAACCTCACACTTTATCTATCCATATTCCTTGACGCATCATTAAACAGGTTAACCACCGTTGATCTGATAGCGTCTCTTAAGACTTGGAATGATGTAAATGACGGTAAGAAAAATGAGAGATTTTATGGTGTTGGTAGTTTGAACCCCATCTCTGTAAAAGTGGAAAAGAAAAAAAAGATATTTTCAACCAGTGAAATTTGGGAGCTATAAGATATTAGTTAAAATGTTATTTAAAATAATGTAAAAAATAAATTATAAATTATTAAAATAAGATTAAATTATAAATTCATGATGAAAAGACCGTTAATAAATAGATATGAATTATCACATAAGTTTATTGTTGAAAGTGTAATTTCTTATGTCGAAGCAGGTTGTTGTTCGACATAAGGTGTGTCAAATCAGCATGTTGCCCGACATAAGATGTGTCGAAATAGTTTAACTTAGTCTGTCAAAGTGTGTTTGTCGAGTTGTATGTAATTGTCAAAATATTGAAGTAGGTTGTTTTTCACAGGATTTTGACATAGATCCAAAATAGGTATTTTGGGCTTTTGTATTTTGAGTTTTGGCTTAGAGAGCAAGCTAACATAAACTATAAATAGAATGAGTAACACTTATTTTTTATAATCAACTCATAACAATTTGTATTTATAAAATTTTACAGTTGCAAAGTGAATAAAGATTTTCCATAATTTATGGGTAGAGAGTTACTCTGCAAAAACCCTAATCTCTTTTCTTCTTTAATTTTCTTTTCTTTTCATTGTCATTGTGTGGTGATAACAATCTTGTTCGTCAAGATTGATAGAAATTCATCATAGATCTTGGTGGATTTCCAACACTTGGTATCAAGAGCTCCGGTTGAGCGATTCAAGGCAACCAAGAACGATGGCAATGAATCATCTAAATGAGCATTTTCCAGCAAGTCTTCTATTTCTTAAAGTTAATAACTATGAGAATTAGTGCAAGCAGGTGAAGGTTGTGTTTTGTTGTCAAGATCTTTTGAATCTTGTAAAATATGAATTATAACTGCTTGAAGAAGATACTTCAGAAGAAGAAGAAGAAGAAGAAGAGGTGGAATACAAAGAATCAAAGAAGAAGAATTATAAAGCTCTCTTTATAATTCATCAATGTCAGAGTCCAGACAATTTTGAAAAGGTTAGTGATATAGAATATGCAAAATATGTTTGGGAAGTTCTGAAGAAATCGTTTGGAGGTGCTGAGAAAGTGAAAGAGGTGAGATTACAAACTCACAAAAGAACGTATGAATTACTTCATATGGAAGATAATGAGAGCATATCTAATTTCTTCACTAGGATTACGAAACAAGTGAATCAAATCAAGGCTTGTGGAGAGACGTTAACAACAAGAGGAGTTGTTTCAAATAATACCTTGAGATCTTTGGCTCCAAAGTTTGACCATGTGTTAGTTGTCATAGAAGATTCGATGGACATGTCAACTTTGTCGAAGGAAGAGCTTCAAGGGACGCTTGAATCTCATGAACAGATAATGGCTGAAAGAGCTGCAAGCAAGTCGAAGAGTGATGTGGCGTAGGTGCAGTCAGCAAGAGACAAAAAAGATAAAGGAAAGTGATTCGACAACAAAGATAGAGGAGGCTACAACAATTCTACTGGTAAAGAAGACCAGTAGGAAGAAATTGTGTCGAATTAGAGAAGACCTCCATACTAAGGCAACCAAAGAGGTGGTGCTGGGGGTAGAGGAATGGGTGGTGATCAAAAACTTAACAAGAGTCACATTCATTGTTTGAATTGTCAAAAATATGGTCATTATTCTAGTGATTGTCAACAAAAGCGAAAGAATCAAAAAAGTGATGCAAAGTTCACAAAGTATGAATAAGAAGAGATGTTGTTGATGGTCACAATAAGAGATGAAGAGAAATTTAAGGACCAATGATACTTGAATCAGGATGCTTATCAGACATGTCTGGAAGGAAATATTGGTTTGTAAACATAAAGCCCTCGATGAAGAATATGGTGAAATTTGTAAATGACAATACTCTAGAAGCTGAAGGTATTGGTGATGTTTTGATTATAAGGAAAGATGGCAAGAGGTCAGTAATTTCCAATATGTTGTACATATCAGGCATGAAGAGAAATTTTCACAGCATAGGGCAGTTGGTTGAAAAGAATTATAAAGTGTCGGATCGAAGACAAGATGATGAGAGTCATCGATGCAATAGGAAGGTTAATCTTAAAGGCTCATATGTCTCAGAATAAGACCTTCAAGATCGAACTAAATGTGATGGAGAAAAATGCCTAGAAACTGCAGCTAGCAGGGGTGAATGGATATGACATTATCGACTTGACCATCTAAAATTCAAAGACATCAGAGATTTGAAAAGAAGAAGTATGGTTTCAGGGTTACTAGAAATTGACATTCCAAAAGAAGTGTGTGAGGAATGTGTGCAGACGAAGCAGCTTAAGAATAGCTTCAGAAAGGATGCAGAAAGCAATTCGAAGGATATTCTCGAAATTATATACTCTGATGTATGTGGAACAATCCAGGTAGAGTCAAATGGAGGTAATAAGTATTTTGTAACATTCATAGATGATTTCAGTCAAAAACTGTGGACTAACCAGATCAAGAAGAAAAGTGAAGTGACCAAGGTATTTTCCAAGTTTAAATCTATGATCGAAAGACAAAGTGGTCGAAAGTCAAAGTTTTGAGAACTCATGATGGTGGAGAATATGTGTCGAAAAACTTCGACATGTTATGTGAGAAATAGGGGATTATGCATGAGATGGTGCCACCCTACACTCCACAGAAGAATGGAACTGCATAAAGGAATAATCAAACCATCACGAATATGGTGAAAAGTATGTTGTAAGGCAAGCATTTACCTAAAGAGTTTTTGGGTGAAGCTGTGTCGACCGCAACATATATCCTGAACAAATGTCCGACGAAGAAGCTAGAAGGAATTACTCCAGAAGAATGTTGGTCTAGTGTAAAGCCTAGCTCGAGTCATCTGAATGTATTTGGATCTATTGCACATAGACATGTACCAGATCAATTGAGAAGAAAACTTGATGACAAGTCGAATCAAATGATCCTAGTAGGATATTATTCAACAGGAGGTTACAAGTTATTCGACCCAGTAAACAAGTAGATTGTGATCAGTATGGACATGATCATAGATGAGCTTAAAGAATGGGATTGGACTGAAAATGTCAAGAAAGATTCAGTGAGAATCTTACTTGAAGAACCAGAAACTCAAGTCAAAAGAGAAGTTAGACAAGAGGAAGTTATAAATCAACCAAGTACAAGCAGACCTCAGAGAACAAGAGACATGGCCGTAAGGTTGCAAGATTGTGTGATTACATCAGATGATGTGGTCGATGATAAAGGTGAGCTGGTACAGTATACTTTCTATGCAGATGTCGAACCAATCAATACAACTAAAACATTGAAGGATTCTAAGTGGGTGAAAGAAATGAATGAAGAAGTAAACTCCATCGAAGACAACAACACTTGTTCACTTGTCAAATTGCCTCAAAGCAAGAAGGCAGTCAATGTAAAATGGATATACAAGGTGAAGTTGAATCCCAAAGGGAAAGAAACTCGACACAAGGCAACACATGTGGTGAAAGGATTTCTAAAGAAAGATGGAATCAACTTCGATGTGGTTTTTGCACCTGTTGCTAGAATCAAAATAATCAGGTTGGTTGTTGGTCTAGCAGAAATGAATAGTTGGCACATATGTCAGATGGACGTGAAATGTGCACTCCTGAATGAACCCTTAGACGAAGA